GGTAATCCGTCCGTTTGTATGTCTGCTTATATGGCTGAAGCGCACCATAACTCTCGAAGGGAGTATCCAATTTGGTTCAAACTTGGTAAATCGTAATATTATTATCGTAATATTATTGTTGAACTTAGATCGAGTTCGGAGATGGTCAACATCGGTCTACTTCTTCTGGCACCTTCTCCGACAAAGCGTCAATATTTTCAAAGAAAATAAATTACTTCAAGAAAGAGAAAGGAACTCCTAATATTTTTGTCAGTGCTAGCTCGGGTGCGAAAATTAACAATATCTGGCCAGTCCATCAAGTACCTACCCCACAAAGGGTCAAAATTTGGAATAATTATTACAGCCTTATTTCTGTCCGTATCAAATCATATATACCCTCTCTAGCCATATGGATAAGGATATAAAAAGGAGTTTACAATAAAATAATCTTGTAAACATGTCCGAAGGACTACAAGTTAGTCATAGAATGTTGCTAGAATTAGATCTTCATAGGAGTGAGTCTGTCCGGAACAAGAAGACCAGTTGACCTTATAGACCAGTCCCTTCGACTGGGATTCTGCTCTGTCAGGAAAAATTCGATATAAGCGATTCTCAGGGGCACTAAGCCCTGATGGACGAGTTTTTGTAGAGTAAATGCCGAATGGGTCCCTTTTATAGAGGGCAGTATGTCTTAATTGGCGAGCCTTTAGGTAGAGAGAAGGTCGAGAAGAGGGTTCCTTTAGCTCGTCCTGTGTATTTGATGTAGATTGGGTTACAATGGTTAGTAACTTTTTTGGTCGTTCGAAAATTGAAATGAAATTGCTTGACATTTGGTATCTGAAGCTCCTAGGCAAAAGGGGGACTCTAAAGCCTCATATAACTGTACCTCCCGATATTTGGCACTTTTTCATGACTGTAATCACATTAAAAAAAACGCTTCCAAAATTTGGTATTTGGCTTTCAAAATATCTCTGATGGAAAATACGGATATGATCAAAATTAGTTATTTACAGGGTGAGATAAAAAAAAACTGCAACAAAGTCAAACGCCATAATTTTTACCTTTTTAAATTTTATTGAATGAAAGCAAAAAATGTCGGAAATAGCATATAATTTTAGAATAAGTTTAGATTTGTTCGAATTGGTCGCCTTTAGCACGAATTATGCCCTTTAAACGGCTAATGAAATCGTCAAAACCGCTGCCCGAATGTTGCTCTGCAGTATTTTGGCCCATTCCCGCCGAAGCGCTTGCTTGAGGTGACCGACACTATGGCATTTTTTAGTGCCAACCTTGCTTTTCAAAATAATCCAGACACAATTGTCCGGAGATTTTAGTGGTCATTGTGCGCTGGAAATGAAGCGAGAAACCTCATTTTATAACCATTCTTGGGTGGCGCGTGCTGAGTGGGATGGTGATGAGTCCTGTTGGAATGTCAAGGTCTGCAGCCAAAATACGAGCGTAGAGCGACCATCGGCTGTTATGGCGGCCCACACCATCACCATGACTGGCGCTTGAGTTCTGGTGGCCAACCGAAGGTGTACATTTTCAGCTGACCTCTTTGGCAAGTAATCACGATCATTTTGTTCATTTACAAACTGCTGGACAACGAATGTTTTCTTATCGGAGCGGAGAAAACCAAATTCCGCAGTTCACCACGTTCGGCAAAGCGTAGCAACCCTTTAGCTCTTGTGAGTCTAGTTTCTTTCTGTTGCGGTGTAAGTTCTTGCACTTTTTGGAATTTCAATGGCTTTACCCCCAGCTCATTTTTCAATGTATGCCGAATGGAATATTGCGATATGTTCACCTCATGAGGCATTTTTCGGCCACTGCGATGCGGGTTTCGATCAAGTCGCTTCTTTACTTATCGAACCATTTCTGCTGATGTTGCTGTTTTCTTCCGTCCACTTGCTTGACGTCGGGCTATGCTACCAGTATCACAGTAACGAGGAATGGTACGAGACCCAAAAGATTTATTCACATTTAAATGCTGGAGTACTCTAACGATAGCTACTTGTGGCTTTCCAGCCAAATATAAAGAAATCACACTATCACCCTTGAATTCTGGTAGCCATCCCGAATAACTTTTTTCTGGAAAATTCTCACCAAAATGCTTTTGTACGCTTGTAAACAATATAATGAGCTGTTACTGGAATAATTTTAACAGCTGTCGGACGAGTGGCTTAGAAATGACAGCAGTCTGAAGTTGGTTGCAGTTTTTTCATCTCTCCCTGTATATATAAAAGGCAGTCTTTAGAAAGAGATATGTGGGTCTTTAAATTAATTCAAAATTTTCTCCTCATTGGAGAAGGTTGGCAGAAAGGACTTCAAATACAAGAAACAGGACAAAAGCCTACCATTTTGGATAGCCTGTAGAAAACACATAGCTAGTAATATTTACAGATTTTTTTAAATTTTTTGTTTACCTATCGACCGGCCAAAATTCCTTTTCGACATTATTTAAAAACACCGGTATGAATATGCGGGGAGTTTTTCAATACTTTATAGTGTTGTAGGGTATCACATGGTTTTTGCTTTTTTGTTTGAAATTTCGTAATTGCAGATCTCAGACAGATACTGGACTATATAGGTCCACACATTTGTATAACCCCATAAAATGGTGTCTTCCGATATCCCGTATTTTCATAGTTTGAAATTTGATATTTAGCCTTTCAAAATGGGCACCCTTCCCTCTTGTAGAAAATGTTTATAAATGGTCTATAATTTTTTATAACCCCCATATAACAATACGTCCCGATATTCAGTATTTTTAAAATTTTAATCATATTTTCCAACAGAATTTTTTTCATGAAGAGAATTTTTTTGTAGGTTCACGTTTTCCTATAATCCCATAAAAGGGTATCTCTCGATATTCAGTATTTTTATTAGCCGAGTAATTGATTTTATTATTTTACTGAAGCAATATATACCGCCGGTTACTGGGTTTTACACTTATTGACATAATTTTCAAAGTTTTTTTTTCGAAATAACATGGGGTATAAAAAGAATGGCCGGTTAAATTGTTTCTTAAATGTATAGCTACATGGAACTAAATTGTAGGATAGAAAGAATCATAAGAGTACGTCAACGTCTTCATTGTCCCCTCAACCTTAAATTGATCGAAAATTGGAAAAAAGTAAAATCTTCCAATTCTGATATTTCAATTCCTGAATAGACCCTAAAAATGCAGCTTCCAAAAATTAGGAAGTTTTATTTTTAAATTCCAACTTTGGGGGAGGGGATTTAGCAAAAATATTAATCATCTCGGACCGGAAGTCTATGGAACGACTTCTAATTCGAGAAATCTTTATTAACGCCCTGTTAACCAGGGAAAACTCGAGTCGATTTTTTTCTTGATCTCATGCGGTATTTGTGGTGTAGACGGGCTTAGTAGTAACTCCATCTCTTCTCCTTATGTAAGTGAAGTAAAATTGAAATAAATACAAAACCTTCAGATACATCCTTCAAGAGGTCTAGGAATAGTGGACTTTGGGATAGTGGACTTAATTAAAAAAAAAGAAAACGTCCGAAAAATTCTTGAAAGTCCGAAGCTTCTATTAAATAAAAGTTCTTTAACATAGTGTATATAAAATAGGTTATTAAACTATTGAAGATCTTCAGAAGAATACCTAGGATCTTCCAGTTCTGGTGGTCCATTTAATTCTAGAGTAGATCCCAAAAAGTGCAGCTTCCGAAAATTACCCAGTGTTATTTTGAAATTCCAGTTTTTAGTCATGGTGTCCACAAATATGTAATAAAACAAGTTAAAAAGTATCAGTCGGTATTGCCGCTAGAGATATACCCTCAGCCTATGTTCGATTATCTAAATATATTTTGACTAGTGTTAAGGTTATTCAAACGTTTGACCCTCTATTGCCCATTTCCTATCGGACCCAAAATATGATATAAATATTTCGACAGATGTACCAAGTCTAAATGGAATCGGGTGTTAATTTGGCGATTTATGAGCTTCATGGGTACTCAAAATTTCAATATTTTGTGGGGGAGGTACTTGATGGAGTGGACCGATATTGTCCATTTTCACACCTGTCCTAGCACTGACGTAAATATTAGGATTCGCAAAGTCGGAGAAAATTCGGATTAGCCTTTCTCTTTCTGTGCAAAAAAATTGTTTTTTTTTTTTTAATTTCGACCTTTTGTGGGAGAGGTACCAGAAGGAGTGGGCCGATATTGTTCATCTTAACACAAGACCTTGGGTTAATATAAATATTGGGATGTGTGAAATTTGAAGACAGTCGGACTCTTACATAACATTTTATGAGAATTGTAATTATTCAAAATTTTGAATATTTGTGGGGGAGGTACTTGATGGAGTGGACCGATATTGCAAATTTTCACACCTGAACTAGCACTGACACAAATATTAGGATTTGCAAAGTTGGAGCAAATTCGGATTATCCTTTCTCTTCCTGTGCAAAAAATATATTTTTTGAAAATTTCGACCTTTTGTGGGGGAGGTACCAGAAGGAGTGGACCGATACTGCCCATCTCCGAACTCGATCTAAGTTTGACAAAAATATTACGTTGTAGCCAATTTGGACCAAATCGGATACCCCCTTCTAGAGTTATCGTGCGCACCAGCCAGCTAGACAGACAGACGGACGGACGGACGTCGCTAGATCGACTCCAAATGTTCTGAAACGGATTTGGTCCAAAGAGACCTAGGGTCTAAAACCGTTATTTCGACTAGGCACGTTTTGGCCGTATCAAATGATATATACCCTCTGTAGCCATATGGCTGAGGGTATAAATATTGGGCATGCCTCATCTTGAGGTACCACCGTCATGGTCCGATGAAAATTCGTTACTGCCTCATATCCTTTTTTTGGCTTTTTGTTGTTTATTTTGTGTATTGGCTTCAGTTCATTGTATATTTACTGCAGAGAGGTCGGTACGTACATATATTTGTATGTGTATGTGTGTGTACATTGGTGTGCTCAAATATAATTCTGTGTGTATGCTTACGAATTGTTATTTATTTTTCTTATAAAACCGAACAATAGTTTATAACAACACAAAAAGGAAAGTGAAGAAGTGTACCAGTGAAGAGAATCTTGTGGGGGAAAAACCAACAACAACAGCAACAAATGTAACAACAATAACATCATCTGAAATTTATACAATTACCGAACATATAAAAATTCAACAACTCTCTTGAATTTGCTGTATCAACAATTTTCGTTTCGTTTCTTCGTTCGTTCGTCCATCCTTCCTTCTTTCTCGATGGGGCATTCAATGCTTCATTTCATCAGCATTTAACCGTCTACATATTAAAGTGCGGAGCAGTTTTCTTTATGGAAACCTTACAGCTGGAAACTCAACAAGAAAATAAAATCCGTCCGTTCATTGATGACGTTCAACAGCAAAGCAAAAGAACTGGTAAGTTTGTTTCCAATTTCTTTCTTCGAAAAAATTAAACTAATAACCCCAGTGAACAACTAAACCTTTGGCTCATCTGAAAAAGGAAGCCCGATAGCGGGGTTTCCCTTGATTTGAAAATAAATTCTAAACAATGGCTTTACAAATCGAAGCTTCAATTTTGACATACTGACATTGCTAACACTTTGCAACAGTGGAGCACTGCTCTACATTTCTCCGTTTGAGTTGGATGATTGACCTGACCTGAATATTGCGATGCTAAGCTGGGTTGTGATTTAATTGAAATGCTGCAGCAGCTGTTGGCTGTTACGGCTATCCATTATAAATAATAAATCAATGCCCTCCATTTGCAACAACAACAACAATGGAAACTGTAGTATCTACAGGAGGCACAGATAAAAATGAAAGTTAAGTTAAAATCAAGTCTGCCCTCGAAGTATTCTCCCCCCTCAACCCCATAACTGCGGCCATTATATTTTAGTGGTCTACTGTTGTTTGGCAAGATTATTTTCTCATGCCTTCATTTTGGTCTTTAATTTATAAATATTTAATTTTCCGTTATATGCTTGGCTCTTTGTGAGTACAGAAAAAAGCTAAGTCTTTTTGAATAATTTATCAACATGTCATGCAATAAAGACAATGCAGAATAATGAAATTTTTCTCTTTGTTTAGAAAGGGAAAAATTACATTTTTAAGGAATGCGTTTGAGAAGTAAAATCTCTGTGCTTATTTATTTTGTATTAAAAAAAAAATAATTAAAAAAATCATATAAAAAATAAAAACCAATTAGAAAATAAAATGCAGAAATGGTTTCAAGTAGTTCTGAATATTTAAAATATGCTCACATATACTATAAATAGAGAAAAAAATCCACTCAAGATATAGTTCCAGAAAAATTATATGAATGAAATTACCTTCTTCGAAGGATGTCTATGGACAAAAGACCGTCCTCAGATTTAATGGGCCTATTTCATGCTGATATAAAATGCGAAAAAAGATCATTCCAAATGAGTTCTTAAACTTTTTATTTTTTTTTTCAAGTAAAAATAAAAAAAACAAGTAAGCAAAGGCTATAGTTGTGCGGGGCCGACCATGTGAATACTACAATAAGTTAGAAGTCCTCTTATGTCCAAATCCATTTTGGAAGACTTCGTTTTTGAAATAATGCCAATGAGCCCTGTCTAGATGTTGCCCTTAGGTTTTTGACCCTGGGAATTTGCTCAATATTTACTCACTCCGTCCTGGTGTACGGTATTTAATACAATTTTCCTTTTACACTTAAATATAACCCAATGGTCATTCAAAATGCTAGACTTCTTCCCTGTCCTTAACCCTCTTCTGATACGAAATTCCGTGTCGTTTAGATTAAATTTAAATTAGAAACATTTAAATTTTTTTAGTCCATTTGAGCCCCTAAATGTATATCTTAAGAACAATAGGCTTAAATTCTGACCCTAACCCAACCCCCATGAAAATTTTCGGGAAGATTGGACGATAGTGTTGCGGTGTGTAAAAATATAGAAAATTTTCAATTCAAAATTGTAAGTCAAATTGAAAAAATCGCAAGCGATAAAAAGTATGTCAAAAATAGGAAAATGGAACAAAAAATATTCACTTTTTTATTTGTACATTTTTCCGGGATTTTCTTAAATTTTTTCCGAATTAATGGGAATTGTGAAAATCGGCCCAGCGTTTCTTGACTTTTAAGCTAAATAAATAAGGTATATTTCTTTTATATATATATTGCACCTATTTAGCTATATATCCGATTTCTTGGCAATCAGCATCACTTCAATGGTCAGAAGTTTGTGATATGGCTGGGATTAAAAATATTCGCGGTTTAGTGGAAATTTTCGTATTTTCTTACATAAAAGTCAAGGTCTATTTTACCCGCTAAATATTGTCCGATGACCAAATTGGTAGGCTTCTGCCCAATCCCAAACTCTGCTTCCATGCAAATTTCCGCGTCGACTGGTTCCTAATTGTGGCTTGTAGAGCAACTGCAAAGTCAGGAATATTTTCTGTTTTTGATCCATTTCAACCCCTAAATATTTTGCAATCATCTCCAAAAACAATAGGGTTCTATTCTGATCCTAACTACACATCCATTTTCAGTTTCGTGAGGATCGGGCCATAATTGCGACCTGTAGGTTGCAAATTATAAATTAACATGGACAGACGGAATGACGGCTATGTACAGGGTTGACCATATTCGACGGAACTTTGGGCCCATTCCAATCGACGAGGCTTGTCCGCAGGCAACATTCTTTGCGTCAATTGAATTTTGTACGGGAACAAATGCAAATCAATGCGAATAATCCGTTGTAAAATGGACCGAGCCACGCCCAATTGCTGAGAACTGCGTTTTTGGGATTTTCTTGCGGACCTCTTAATACTGCCTCGTACGGCAGCGATATTCTTGGTCGACTTTTATATGGCCTCTTCGGATTAGAAAGAGCCTTACCAGTCGAAAATTTTTCGTATAAACGCTTAATGGTGTTCTTAGAAGGCGCACTTCTGACATTTTTTAATGTTTTAAAAGCACGTTGAGTTTTCACAATTGACTTCTTCTGTTGAATGTAAATTTCAACTATTTCAGAGCGCTCGCGTGGCGTGTATTGGTTCATAGTAAAAATCTGCTTGGACTGACGTTTCAAACGCGGTATGCCATTAAGCGATGTGACATCTCTGTCAAAAGTTATGGCGTTGCCAGATGGGTCCGTCGAATTTGGACAACCCTGTAGAAGTACGAATGGAATATCTTCCAGATAACCATTAGGAACAGGAGGTCGACTTCTATTTCTAGAAGTAACGTATATGGGTAGGCGACATTCAAAAGTTGTTCTGGCGATAAAAGACCTCCACGGATTAACATGGATATGGCAGAAATATTTTATGGATTTAAGGCCACCAATATGTCTTCTATAGACAAAGGACACAATCTTCAAAGGTTTAAATCTCTTCAACGCGTCTTTTAAGCTCTAACCTAACCGCCAGTAGAAAACGTAATAGGTCTTCTTGGGATAGACCAAATTAACGTCTCCTCTCGCTAGAAGTATACACGACCTTTACCTCTCAAACATTTTTAAGACGAATAGATTTTATATTTTTAAAGAATTGTCGGCAAGTCTTGTATGGATAGAGGTTCCATCAGAAATCTTTTATAAAAAAAGGACCTCTTAATATTTTACAAGAAGACTTTTACATACTGAAATAAAACTCCTTCACAAGTTCTTCCTTGCACTGAAGAAGATCCAAAAGATTTATTACCGATCTTACTCAATGAAAGAACTATTCAAAGTTCTTTCATTGAGTAAGATCGGTAATAAATCTTTGGATATTAAAGGATCTTCAATGGACTTTCTACGGGCGGAGCTATTTCAGGATTAAGAATGGCCCTGTGAGGGTAAAAGATCTCCTTGTGGAATGAATGCCTTATAGGGGTCTTCTATGAATATTATATTTTCGACAGATTATCCTTTGAAAGATTTTAAATTAAGGACCTTGAACAGGGCATGCCTGAATAAATTTTCTATGGATAGCAGAGCAGCGAAGAAATCGTAATATTAGACCTACAGCAGGTTTTCCATATATAGAGGACGTTTTAGAGACTTTCTGTGATTTAAAGTCCTTCCACTATGGTCTATATGGCCAGAAGTACTTTGACAGAAATTCTTTTTCTAGAAGACCTTCAACAAGCCATCGAATGCTTGAATACATTTTGTCTTAGAATACAGGTGCTTTGAAAGAAACTCTTTCAAAGGTTCTAGTACTAAACCGCAAAAAATCTTCTTCATCTGTTGTACATTTTTTTCGATTTTTATGTTTTCTTGTACGGTGCTAGTAATAAATTATGAAATTTACGACTTTCTGGTTCTTTTTTTTTTGGAGACACATCAATTGATTTCCAAATGACAAGTTGCTCAGCATAAATCAGCGTTAGGTGACAATATCGATGTGAGTGTGGCGACACAGCTTTTTCCCTGGAATTTTATGCGAATATTTATGTGACTAACAAAGGTGTGATAAATTTTGAATTCACATCAAATAATCGGATTTTATGGTTTTTTTCTTTACGAAGCATCAAACCGAAAGAAGTTTTCGAATTTTTTTTATTAAATTTAAAAGATTTAAGGGCATGATGACAATAAGATCTTGAATGCTTAGGAAAGACACCATTTCAAATAAGTTTTCCGCACTTTTATTATATTTATTAATTTAAATCTAAAATTTCAAAAATACGTTTGGAAAAGTGTTTTTCTTTAGCATTTGCAATTTTTCAGAAAGCTCTTGAAAAAGTATTTTTTACATACACATATTTTTTCGAAATCAAAAAAAAAAAATCTGCAAAAAAGAATATATGATTCTCAGGGACTTTAAAAAAAATACAAAAAAATCCCGACTCATGTCTTTGTCAGTTCACTAGAAAATATTTTTAAAGATTGTACTCTTGTTAGTCCAAAAATTGGTTAAAAAATATTTTTTTTTAATTTCTTTTTAATTTTTTTTTATTTCAAATATTTTTTTATTTAATGGGATACGCTGGTTATTTGGTGGTTTTGAAGATGTCAGGCACATTTCTGTTGTAAAAAAAAAAACAATGTTTATTTATTTGTGCAGAAAAAAGCACAAAAATACTAAGGGGGAGAGGGGAGGGCCTTTTTTTGTTTGAAATATCGTCGGAGCCCTAATCGGAATTTTAAGGATATTTTTTCAAGGACTGCCGGAGAAACAGTTGAGGATTTTTTCCTTATATTTTTCAAGTACTAGCAGCGATTTCACCGCGGCTTTTTAGGTAACTCCAGTCAAGGACTCTCTGGCCTGAAATCATTTCAGGCTAGTATAGCTAGCTAGTATGTATAGCTATAATCCTATTATAGCTTTCGGATCGGCCTGAATTGTATGCTACAGATAGATCTTGGCCTCCTGACCAAAAATATGATACCCGTATTGGTTATAAAAACCGGTTATATTTTGCTTTTTCCCGAACTTTCGGTTCA